AAAAAAAAAAAAAAAAAAAATCCAAAAATAGTAAGCAATTAATGTTGTCCTAAAATTTTAGTTACTATTTATGGTAAATAGTAATTCTTATTATATATATATATATAGATACACCAAAAACAGATTATATAAGAATACCTTAGTTGCCATCTTAGCTTCGCCAAAGTAAACTGTTTCGCCACCTGATAACAAATAAAGATCATCAAACAGAGCAAAAACCTCACTGCTGGGCTGGTGGACAGATGAGATCACAGTCCTTCCATCACGGGCCAAGTTTTTAATGGACTGGATCACGAAAAAGGCTGCAGCACTATCTAGGCCGCTAGTGGGCTCGTCCAGAAAGAGTAAGCGGGGCCTGATGAGGATTTCTAGTGCAATGCTCAGCCTTTTCTTTTCTCCCCCACTTATTCCCCTCATCTGCCAGTTTCCTATCTGACGATCCGCACAATCTTGAAGGCCCATTTCCATTATTGTACCTTCCACAACGCCTTTAACCTCGTCTTTGGACATTGAGGATGGAAGTCTGAGTTTGGCCGAGAATGTAAGAGTTTCTCTGACTGTGAGGGTGCCTAATAGTACGTCCTCTTGGGTCACGTAAGCCTGAAAAACGGTCAAAATGTGTGATATTTTTTATTTTTTATATTTAAAAATTAATCTTTAATCAATGTTAATCGGATAAGGTACTTACAACCACACCATAGTCCATGCGCCGCTTTTTCCCATTGAGAAGAATATTTCCGGTCATGACAATATTCGTCGACAGTCTACCTGAGAGTGGCCATATTCAACTCGTTAGTCGTAAAATGAATATGAAATGACAATGAAGATGTGAAGCAAGCAAAGTTCTTTCCATTCAACGAGCATTTCATTCTCGACTCTTTCGGTTCATCACTACATTTTAGGTTAACTTACATGCACGTAAACTTTCTAGAATAATGCAAATGTGATGATGTTGACCTGTTTCTGCCAGGAGACTAGTGACATCACAAAATTCACTAATATGATAATATCTCACCCAATTATGAGGTAACTTCTAATTTACAAGGGTAGCTAAAATCGAATGACACGATAAAAAATAAATTACTTACATTAGCTGCTATCATTTATTTTAATTAGCATTGATTAATTAGGTGAAATCAGAAATACTAGATACATGACAATTCTTGCTGCAATTACAATAGCTAAAGGACAAGAAGACTTTTGACAGCCACACAAGAAAGGTCATTTGTCCTTCATTTAATCCTCAACTGCCCAGGCCCTAACTACTTTATGTAATTAAACCATTCTCTTCTTTCTCTGCTCTGAATATGACTCAGGGGTCACTTTTATTAGGTCCACAATTTAGATGAAAAAGGCTCGCTGTTTACTTTCTCTGAGTAAGTTTGAAATAAAAATTTAGAAACAATATTAAGTGCGGAGTAGTAATAAACATACAATTTTGGGGAAGCCCCTATTCATAGATAGATCATGCACTATTTACAGTGCCGCCTGACAGAATCATTAAAATCTTTAGGCCAATAATAGAGCGTGATAATATACCAGCATTAAAATTGAAAGCTTGAGCCCAAAATTTTCCATCTCGTGCTATTAGGATAACTTATAATTATCCATCTACAACGTAAAAGTTCAAATTTGGATTGCCCACAAACGGGTTTTTTACCGTTTGATCAACACACAACCATATAGAAAAGCCAACCCTTTAGTAAAAATGAAGCAATTTACATCTTTCTTTTGAGCCAAGAAATTGAAACAAATCATGACATAAACAAATCAATAATCCATGCAATAACAATAAAAACATTCAATATATGAGGGAGGAAAAAGGAGAATGACCCGCTAAGGCATCGAGAAGTGTGGATTTGCCAGAACCCGAAGGGCCCATAATCGCCATGATCCGACCCGGCTCAGCAAACCCATGAAGCCCATGGAGAAGCTTCCTTGTTGGGCCCTGCCCGAAATTGGGCAGCACCACCATCAAATCCTCCCACACCAAATGGGCCTCGCCATTGTTAACCCGTGGTCCCCTTTCCAAATCACCGCCCGATCCGCCACCACGACCCGCCGCCTCGATTTCCATTTCAAAAGAATCTAACTTTAAAAGATAACAAAAGTAGAAAGAAACAAATCTCAAGCATATACTTCGTACTCTCGTGTTGTACTTGAAATTGGTTAGCTTTAACTGCTTTCACGAAAGAAGAAACATTTTTTGGCTCCCTATTCTTCTTCCCTTGAACTACTTTCCTTAAACAGTTCAGAATAGAGTTTGCCCTGTTTATTAGATTGTTGTGATTGTGAGATTTTTGCAGAACAAAATGGGGATAGCTAGGTGTAAAGAAAAAGTTGAGGGGATTTTAAATGCATGGGGTCCAAATTAAATGGCTTGCAGTTGCATTGAAAATTATGGGTTTCTTTTAAAAAAACCAAGAAAACAAATAAAGATAAAGAAGCCAATAAAAATTGAATCTTGATTTGAGAAGAGGCCATACGCGTCATATACTTACAAAGTCCAAAGAAAAGCAACTACCGGTGCATGCTCTAATTAATGAGTTGTGAACATAAGGAAAAAGAAGAGGGCAAAAGATGGAAAATAAATTTTAGGTTTAATTATATGATAGGTTATTTAAGTTTAATAAATGGTGGTTTGCTGTTGGGAGTTAAATGAGATGGACTGAGTACTGACCAGTGACTGAGAAAGCACTAAAATATGAGGACATAAACTAAAAGAAAATGGACTCACAATAGCTTTGTCTTTAAAGAGAGTATGGGCTGTGGAAGGAATTTGGAAATTGTTCAAAAATGATTTATAGCAACCCAAAAATATCTAAGCTGAATGTATTTAATTTTTCCCATAACTAGGACTGTCTTACTACAGATTTCCTTATGATTGTAGAAAACTAGGACTGTCTTACTACAGATTTCCCATCGATGGAACTACTGAAATTAAAATCTATAAATCAAATCAAATAACTTAGGGGGTGAGTGGATATATCATGATCTATACTCAAATCCAATCTCAATTCAAAATTTAACTCAACTCTCAATATTATCAATATAATTAAATAATATCCATAAATCATCTCGCATCACATAAGTTTAATTCACTATTCATCAACTCACATAATTTGAACCATCTACACTTCCAATTATCTATCTCACACTTTTACATCAAATCAATTTAATTATTTTGTTTCAAATATTATTTTAATACAAATTAAAATTCCACTAAAAGCTAACCGAACCAACTTTTTTAAAATTAATCCCAGTTAACAAAAAAAAAAAAAAAAAAAAAAACTAATCAAATACCAATATATTTATATACACGCATGCCCTTATTATTCTACATGCAGATGTACAACTAGTGCGTAGCCAGGTCAATCATGATAATTTTATAAGTTGAAGCGATACATATATAATAAATAACTATTTATAAATAAATTATATTTTATTTGGTCATCATAAATCATCCTTTAAGGTTGTATTTGGTAAGCATATGAGCATGTTTATAGCTTGTTTGATTAGCTTATAAGCTTTCTGTATTCAAGTAAGTTTGGTTTAGTAGGACGAGATTTTATAAAAAAAAAAAACTCGAGCTAAGCTTCATTGGGTAGCATGTGTTGTGTCGTCGTCCAGGTTCCTTATTCTTTTTGGGCGTCAGTTCGCATTTGAGCCACACCTTTTTTAAGAACTTAGTGACCGGTAAATTTGAAGTACAACATGTGTTAATTTATTTATTATTGCGTTCAAATATTACTTTAAGTGATAAAAATAAAATCTAAGAATGAGTAAAAATGATAAATTTTTAATAACTATGTTTCTTATAGTTTTAATATTGTATATTATATTCATAATTTCTTGTGCAAATATATATATATATTTTTTTTGTTCTTCACGTTATCCCATGTTCTTTTCTCTATTAATTTTAGTTGTTTCAGGTACTTCCTCTTGAATGTTTTATTTTTTTCCTAAATATTTGATACTATAATGAAATTCTCAAAAATCCAAATTTCACATATGTACTCAAATTTTCACTCTTGTCTGGAATGTTTTATACAAATAAAGGTTTTAGTTTTTTATTAATCTATATATATATATATATATAATTACTGGCAAATTTAAATAAATTTTATTCAACCAGCAATTAATAATAATATGAGTTCATTTAATAAAAATAGGTATTCATTTAATAAAAATATGTTCAACATTTAATAACAATATTTAACTTTCAGTTACACAATTTATTTTGACAAGTCCTATTTTGGTGCCCATTTCTGTAACGTCTTTTTATGTCATGAAATAAAAATATTTCTATTTTATTTTGATCCTTTATATTTTTGGAATTATATAAATAAATAATTCACAACTAATTAAGAATGACTACAAATATCTCTATTTTCTATTGGAGTCATACAATAATAAAGTTTCTTTTTTTTTTTTGGATATTACAAAGATACATCAACTAATTTGAAAAATCAAATCTCAGAGTTACGAGCCGAAAAAGTTTAACGATAATGATTTATTGTGATTGAATTCTGACGATAGGAAAATCACGAATGTTGTATAGAAAAAATTGTTTAACAATATTTAGATTCACTTTTTTAAATTATTTTTTGCTCATTTATTAAGTTNCAGATTGATAAATGAAAATGGGATATATATATATATATATCATGAGTTCATTCATTCATAAGCCTAAATTAGAAAAAGAAGCAATACATATATATATAAATGAGGAACAGCAGCGTGGGCGTGGCACTCCACTTGATCATCAGTCCCTTTGACACTGGGTGTGCTTCCTGGTGGTCGAATAGGATCATCCCGTACAAGGTCTGGATGGCCACCACGTCATCCTCGGCCAGCTCCACCTTTCTGGTCCCGTGCACCACTTTTGGGTACATGGCTGTTAGTTTTTGATTAAGTTTTGTCCCACATCGGATGTATACCAAAGATGTGTAGGATCTTATTAGTATAAATAGGTTTCTTGCCTTTAGGTTACAACTGCACCTTATTCTATTATCTACTCTCTTGGTAGGAAATCTTTATTTAAGGAAATTCCAATTTGTGGGTTATTTAACCCTAGTTGTATTTTGTTGGTGAGTTTAGTAAATTTGGCGTTGCGGTTGGCGGTGCCCGGAGACGTAGGCTATTTTCGCCAAACTCCGTTATCAATTTTTGTGTCCTTTTTATTTCTTGTCTTTTATTTATTTGTGTTGGCTTATTTTCGTTTGGAGTAGTGCTTGTCATATTTGTTGGAGGGGTATTTTTGTCCGCTGCGTTTGGTGTTCAACCCCAACAAGTGGTATCAGAGCCGAAGGTTCGCCCTAGGCTTATTCGAAGAGGCGAGCACTGCATTCGGGTTCGAGATGTCCAAGGAGGTCAAGGGCGCATCATCCTCTGCGTTCATTCCGGCAAGGACGGTGATGCCGAACGTCAGACTCCCGGTGGAGATCTTCGATGGGACCGAGCATTTCGGCATGTGGCAAGGCGAGGTGTTGGATTGTCTATTTCAGCAAGGCGTCGACATTGCAATTGAAGAAGAGAAGCCAACCGACGTTGAAGAGAAGGATTGGAAGAATATCAACCGCTTAGCATGTGGAACAATTCGTTCGTGTTTGTCGAGGGAGCAGAAGTACGCGTTCAAGAATGAGAATTCTGCTCATACTTTGTGGAAGGCTTTGGAGGATAAATTTCTGAAGAAAAGCGGCCAGAATAAACTCCTCATGAAGAAGCGATTGTTCCGATTTGAGTACCGGCATGGCACATCAATGAATGACCACGTCACTGCATTCAATCAGTTGGTTGCAGATTTGTTGAATTTGGACGTCACATTCAGCGATGAAGATTTGGCTCTAATGTTGTTATCATCACTTTCGGATGACTTCGAGCACTTGGAGACTACTCTACTCCATGGGAAGGACGATGTAACTCTTGCGGTGGTCAGTTCTGCTCTGTCTAACTACGAGTTGAGGAAGAAGAACAAACAAGAGACGAAGAATGCAGTAGCAGAAGATGAAGCGTTGATTGTAAGAGGTCGGTCGAAGAGCCAAAAGAAGAATGGACGAGGAAGATCACGTTCCAAGTCCAAGCTTAAAAAAGACGAGTGTGCTTTCTGCCATGAGAAGGGACACTGGAAGAAGGACTGTCATAAGTTGAAAAAGAAAAGCAAATCTCCTCAAGATGCATATGTTGCTGAGGGTGGAAGTGAAGACTCAGAATTTTCACTTGTGGTTTCACCCTCATCATCTCATCCAGACGAATGGATTTTGGATTCAGGATGCACCTACCATATGTCTCCCATAAGGGAGTGGTTCTTCAATTTTCAAGAGATCAATGGAGGGGTTGTCTACATGGGTAATGATAATGCTTGTAAGACAACCGGGATAGGTTCAATCCGTTTGAAGAATCGCGATGGTTCCACCAGAGTTTTGACGGATGTTCGGTATGTGCCGAGTTTGAAGAAAAACCTCAACTCGTTAGGAGCCTTGGAATCCAAAGGCTTGATAGTGACTTTGCGAGATGGAGTTATGAAGGCTACATCCGGCTTGCTCGTGGTGATGAAAGGCATCAGGAGGAATAATTTGTATTACTATGAAGGTGATACAGTCGTTGGGACAGCAACAGTAGCAGATTCCACCAACAAGGAGTCTGAAGCAGTCAAGTTGTGGCATATGCGGTTGGGACATGCTGGTGAAAAATCCTTGCAGACCTTGGCAAAACAAGGATCATTGAAAGATGTCAAAGTGTGCAAATTAGACTTTTGTGAGCATTGTGTTCGGGGAAAGCAGAAGAGAGTGAAATTTGGAACGGCTATCCATAATACCGAAGGTGTCTTGGATTATGTTCATTCGGATGTTTGGGGACCTTCTAAGACCCCATCATTAGGCGGAAGACGCTATTTTGTCACTTTCATCGATGACTTTTCCAGACGCGTTTGGGTGTACACTATGAAGACGAAGGATGAAGTGTTTAGTGTCTTCATTACATGGAAGACCCAAATTGAAAATCAGACTGGAAGGAAGATCAAGGTCCTACGAACGGACAATGGTGGAGAATATACAAGTGATCCCTTTCAAGAAGTTTGCCGTAAACATGGCATTGTTAGACACTTCACCGTCAGACGGACACCACAAAAAAATGGGGTGGCGGAGCGCATGAATCGAACATTGGTGGAGAAAGTTCGATGTATGTTGTCCAATGTTGGTTTGGGCAAGGAGTACTGGGCTGAGGCTGTAACATACGCGCAGCACCTCATAAATCGATTGCCGTCATCTGCAAAAGATGGTAAAACAACGTTGGAGGTATGGTCGGGGAAACATGTGGCTGACTATGTATCTTTACATGTCTTTGGGTGTCCTACGTACTATCATGTGAAGGATTCAAAGTTAGATCCAAGAGCGAGAAAGGCTTTGTTCATGGGAATCACAATTGGCGTGAAGGGATATAGTCTTTTATGTCTTGAGACGAACAAAACTGTGTTCAGTAGGGATGTTACATTTGATGAACAAAGTATGATAAAGACGACGCAAACCCAACAGGTGGAGTTGACATTGAATCAGGTGGAGATGGATGCGATGACGAGACGACCAGCTATGATCGACGAACCAATATCAAAGGATTCGTCGGATGATGAAGTTCAGACGCAAGAATCATTAGAGTTACCCATTGCATTGAGAAAGCCCAGGCGAGAGATTCAACAACCTGCTCGATTGGCGGATATGGTGGCTTATGCACTTCCAATTGTTGATGATGACATACCTTTCACTTTTCAAGATGCAATACGGAGTTTAGAAAATGAGAAGTGGAAAAGGGCTATGGAGGAAGAAATGTTGTCTCTTCAGAAGAATCAGACTTGGAAGGTGACGCAACTACCAAAAGGCAAAAGGGCGATAGGATGCAAGTGGGTATTTGCAAAGAAAGATGGATTTCCTCATAAGAATGATGTGCGCTACAATGCAAGATTGGTAGCTAAAGGCTACGCTCAGAAGGAAGGAGTTGATTATAATGAAGTGTTTTCTCCAGTTGTTAAGCACTCTTCCATTAGAATTTTGTTGGCCTTAGCAGCACAGTTTGATTTAGAGCTAGCTCAACATGACGTGAAGAAGACGTTCTTACACGGAGATTTGGATGAGGAAATCTACATGACTCAGCCAGAAGGATTCAAAGTTCTTGGAAAATAGAATTGGGTCTGTAAGTTGAACAAATCGTTATACAGACTGAAGCAATCTTCGAGACAGTGGTACAAATGGTTTGATAAATTTATGATTGGACAGAAGTACACACGAAGCAGACATGATCATTGTATGTATCTACGCAAGCTGGAAGATGGATCTTTCATTTACTTACTCTTGTATGTGGATGACATGTTGGTTGCATCAAAGAGCCAAGTGGAAATTGATCATTTGAAGGCTCAATTGAATCAAGAGTTTGAGATGAAAGACTTAGGGGAAGCTAAGAAAATTTTCGGGATGGAGATAAGTAGAGACAGAAGGAGAGGCAAACTTTGTTTGACTCAGAAGCAATATCTGAATAAGGTACTACAGCGTTTCGGCATAAAAGATGAGACGAAGCCTGTAAGTACACCACTTGCCCCTCATATTAAGTTAAGTGCCTAATTATCGCCAAATTGTGATGAAGAACGAGAATACATGGATAGAGTCCCATATGCAAATGCAGTTGGTAGTTTGATGTATGCGATGGTGTGTACAAGGCCCGACATTTCACAAGCAGTTGGTGTTGTTAGCAGATATATGCATGACTCTGGTAAAGGTCATTGGCAAGCTGTGAAATGGATTCTACGGTACATTAATAATACTGTAGACGTTGGGTTAGTTTATGAGCAGGATGAATTTGGTCAATGTATGGTTGGATATTGTGATTCTGACTACGCAGGCGATTTGGATAAGCGAATATCAACGACTGGATATTTGTTCACTTTTGTGAAAGCTCCAGTCAGTTGGAAGTCTACCTTACTGTCAACAGTTTCTTTGTCTACAACAGAGGCAGAGTATATGGCGATTACTGAAGCTGTGATGGAGGTTATTTGGCTTCAAAGTTTGCTTGAAGACTTGGGAGTTGGTCAAAAGCACGTCTTAGTGCATTGTGACAGTCAGAGCGCTATTCACTTAGCGAAAAATCAAGTATTTCATGTAAGAATGAAGCATATTGATATTCGCTATCACTTTGTGTGGGAGATTCTAGAAGATGGAACCATTGTGTTGAAGAAGATCAAGACGACGGAGAATCCTGCAGATATGATGACCAAAGTAGTGACAGCAGTCAAGTTTAAACATTGTTTGGACTTGACTAACATTTTGCATATTTGAGTTGGCGCCGTGAGGCGCATTTGGAGGCACTGCCAACAGTTTATTTGGACTGAAGAGTCGAAGTGAGAGCAAAATTATTCAAGGTGGAGAATTGTTAGTTTTTGATTAAGTTTTGTCCCATATCGGATGTATACCAAAGATGTGTAGGATCTTATTAGTATAAATAGGTCCCTTGCCTTTAGCTTACAATTGCACCTTATTCTATTCTCTCCTCTCTTTGTAGGAAATCTTTATTTAAGGAAATCCTAATTTGTGGGTTATTTAACCCTAGTTGTATTTTGTTGGTGAGTTTAGTAAATTTGGCGTTGTAGTTGGCGGTGCCCAGAGACGTAGGCTATTTTCGCCGAACTCCGTTATCAATTTTTGTGTCCTTTTTATTTATTGTCTTTTATATTTATTTGTGTTGGTTTATTTTCGTTTGGAGTAGTGCTTGCCATATTTGTTGGAGGGGTATTTTTATCTGCTGCGTTTGGTGTTCAACCCCAACAATGACGGCATCCTTATCGGACGAGTGGCCGAGGCCGAGCACGTGGCCGATCTCGTGCGTGGCCACCGACTCAAGGTCCACCGCATCCTTGTTGGAATGCTGCTCGTGCAAGTCGGTCGACCATCTCTCGGCCGCATCCAGGTGGAGCAGGCCATGTTTCGCATGGGCCAGCACATTCAGCACCCCGTCGAACGGGTTATCGTCCCCGTGGTCCCCGCTGTACCACCCGATCTGCACGTCCGCGTTTTCATAGTCCTCTGTCTCGGTGAAGGTCAAGCGGATGTACGCGCACCAGCGGGCAAACGCGCGGGAAAACACGGCCCGCACCTCGCCGAGGTCCAAGTAGCTGATCCCGTGGTCGGGAGAGAAGGCGTAGCTGAGGGGTGCGCTTATACCAGCGTAGTTTGGTACTCTCGCCCAAGAAGCTCAAGTGGGACACGTCGTTCATGAGGGAATGACGATCAAAGGGGGCGGGCGAGGGGGAAGGCGCCGCCGGAGACAGCGGGAGAGAGGATAGGCAGACTAGGGAGAAGAGCAGCAGCAATAGTGATGATGATTTAGAACACAAAGTTATATTTATTTATGCCGATTAGATACGGGGATCAGGAAAAAAAAGATACGGGGAGGAAAATTTATTATTATAGCTAGTAAGATTATGAAATTGATATTTTTGTGCAGAGTAACATGGGGATGGGTCAGTTTATATTATAGGAATTAATGCTTTTCAGTATTGTAATAGGAACATTATATTTAATTAGGAATTAATTAATGTTTTTCCTAATTCTAATAGGAATTAATTATTATTATTATATTATTATTATTATTATTATTATTGTTATTATTATTATTATTATTATTATTGTTATTATTATTTTATTATTATTATTATTTTTTTTCCCTACATCNTATATATATATATATATATTTAAACTGAAATGCTATTGATTATTTTAAAAATAACATAAATCAAAGTATAAAATCTCATAGCATAATTATGTTTTTTGTTAAAATAAGTATCACCGACCAGACCAATCTAATTAGGCCCATCTCGTACTAGAATGAACAAAATCTAAAACCACTCATAGCTAAACAATACAATTTGCTAACTTTTTACATATGGGCAGTTCCTACTTTGAAATAAAATGTAAATTTTCTCTAATTTGTATAAATTATAATATTTTACAAGAAAATATATATCGCTATTGAATATTACATACTATTTTTTAAATATAAACTCAAAGGAAATTAATCCAATCTCAAAATTATTCATGTCAAATAAGTAAGAATCAATCAAATAAAACGGAAGCGTACATGAATTATCTAGTGTGTAAATGAATTATCTGGTGTGGTCTTTCACTGATCGAAACCTTACACAAAATATATTATCTGTATATTGTATATGGTACGATAGTATATAATTAATGTACTGATGATACATGTATTCATTAACAATGAGAATTCTTTTCTTCAGTTGGAATGGTGTGATCTTCCAATGATCCAAACCTTAGAAGATATATTTTTTGTATACTATATATATATATATATATATATAGAGAGAGAGAGAGAGAGAGAGATAGAGAAATGATCATATGAGAATGACTTTTAATGCGAGAAATGAGAATGATTCTGAACCATTAGATCCATCAAGTTAATGGTTATGATCAAGTCAAATTGTGGTCAATCATTAATGGCAGTATGGTAATTATCATTTGTGGTCAAATATACATATTTGACTAATTATTAAGGTTATTTTAGTCATTACAATTTAATCCCACTCATAATGTGGACCCACCACAAACCACCCCAATCTCTCTCTCCCTAATTCTCTCTCCCTAATTCTCTCTCACACGCACAACACACCTACATTCACACACGCACAACACAACTTCTCACACACACAGAGAATTGTACACAAAAATCGAACAGACGGAGGAGAATTGGCGCGGCGACAACGGAGGCGAAGCGACGTGGCGCGGCGGCGACGGAGGCGAAGCGACACGGCGGCGGACGGGCTCTAGACGACGGGCGTGGCGGCAGACGGAGGTGAATCGAGCGACGGCTGCCGGAGACGAATCGAACAGCGGCAGACGAAGACGAATCGAACGGCGGCAGATGGAGAAGATGCGACTAGGCGACTGATTGAAGCGAGACGAGCGGCGACTGACGGACGGGAGACAGACAGTGACGAAGCCTTTGTAGACGACGACCAAGGGAGATGTTTAGTATGCTTTTTCGACAGGTATCAGAGGCGGCTGCGACGGCGTGTTTGGGTGGAGCAGGGCTGTCGCGGTATTGAGTGCGGCCTTGACGAGGGTCAGGCGGCGGCGGGGCTGCCGGATGAACAGTGGAGACTGTGTGATTGGAATTTGATTTGTGGGGCTTACCTTTGAGAATCTGATAGTCTATAGGACTTAATTGTAATTTTTTTAAAAGTTTGATTTATTCCAATTTAGTTCAATTCAGATTTTAGGTTTAATATGTAATTTACTAAAAATTCTTCATACTTACAAAATTTGATAATTGCACAGTACGGGTCACTGGATTGCACTTTACAATTCAACACATTGCACATTATTGTTCAGGGCATTGCACAACGAAATGATATTTGCATAATAGTGTGTGTCTGTATGTACATTAAAACTAAAAAAAATTACAAAAATATCAACGAGCTGCAAAATGTAAAATAATATTCATTCGTTGGTTCGGTTGAACCGGCTTGCCAAAATGTTACAATTGAAATAATCGAGTTGAACTTTTGAAAAAGTTAAATCGAATAGAAGCACGTGGTTTATTCGGGTGGTTAGCCGAATTAAAAAAAATATCTGAATTAAACTATACTTTACGTTATAAGAAAAATACTATTTAAAACGTTAATAATTTTATTTATTATTTTTATATAATTTTTGGTTGAAGAAATTTAAGTTCGGTTAGTTTCGATCTCTGATAGTCATGATAAATTGCAACGTACTGTTTTGTAAAGTGCAGCTTGTTATGTTATAAAGTGCAACGTGTTTGTGTATAAAATGAACTAATGTAATTTTAGTACGCTAACATGCTTGTTTTTTGTGTGGACAAATGATGTGGTTAATGTTAAAGTATTATGCATATCCGTTTTTTATATTTATGTTGTTATGGTATTTTTCGCATGAGCTGTTGACGTTAATTGTGGAGTGTGTTGATAAAGTGCAACGTGTTGTTTTATAAGGTGCAACATATTGTCTTATAAAGTTCAACGTGCTGCTATATAAAGTGCACTACTTTATATTATTTATTTATTCAATATTTAATCTATTATTTTATTATATTATTTTAATATTTTACTTAATATTTTATTTATTATTTAATATGTATGTATAAAAAATATAATAAATAACATTTTTTTATATTAATAAAAATTGAAAGTTGCACTTTAATGCTCAATGCATTGCACAGCATCACATTTAAAATTGCACTTTAAAGGTAAAAACAAATAATCAAACCGACATATAAATTTTGACTCAAATCTTAGTTAGCTCGGTTTCGATTGGTACGGTGCAATCTGACAGTCCTTAGAGTGCAATAACGCTAAGGTGCACTCGAAGTGCATATATATTCTTAATAATTTGTTTCAAACCAAACTAAATCCGAAATATATTTAGTATTTTAATGTTTTTAAAGAATATATTTAGTAATTATAATTTCATATTTACTCATTTATATTATTGTTTGTTGAGAATAATTAATATATATATATAATTTTTATTAAATATAAAATAATATTTTTATTATATACATAAATAAACTATAAAAATACTTTATTATTTATATTATAAAAATGAAATCAGTATTTTGATATTTGTTATTTAATATTTTTTATATATTTCTTAGAAATTACAGATTTGGCCCATGGGTTAAATTGACGTTTAGTCAAAATTTACTAAATTGCAATAGGGTCCCAAAAATCAAATCAAAGAGATTGGGTCGTCGTTTCAAAAATTCATTGCGGTCGTCGTTTCGATTTTCAGGGGGATTATTGCCTTGACCATCGAATTCGTCGCTCGTCCTCACGCCTGGTATCTGAGCTAGCAAAATTATCCCGCCGGAGGGCCGAGATTGGGTCGGAATTGTCAGAGATTTGTGTTGTCGCATTCACGACGGGGACGACTTCTCCGGCAGATTTCAGATGATTTTGACATCTCTGATCTGATGGCGTTGGCGGAGCAGACTACTGTGCGATCCTATGTGAAGGAAGGCGCTCGACGGTGCGGCGCAGAGGCCAGCAGGTGGCGGAGGACATCCCGCCTCTGTGTTCGTTGACAGCATATCCGACGGATCCCGCGGTGGCGAGATGTTTGGCGTTGGCGGCGGAGCAGTGGGTCGCCGGAGGGAAGGACCACAGGTGGGTCGCCGGCGAGAATGGCGGCAGCAGTGGCGGTGCCCGTCTATGTGTGAATGTGTATGTGTGTGTGTGTCTCTCACCGTGATGTGTGTGTTGTGCGTGTGTGGGTGATAAAGATGGGGTGACGTGGCGTGGTGACATGGCAGTGGTTTAATTGAATTTGTAATGGTAATGTCCATAATACCCTTAATGAAGGTATAAATTTGACTCTTTTTAGCCATTAGATCATCCGATCTAATGGCCACGATTTATTCCTATTTCTCGCATTAAGAGTCATTCTCACCGGAGCGTGACCCTATATATATATATACATTTAATGTACTGATTGTGCTTTTAAAGGGAGAAAACAACTATTTAAAAATATGCTCGTTAAAATTATGTTCATACTTTTTCGTCGTTTGAAGTCATAACCAAATAAATAAAATTTTTTGATTCATCTACAAACTATGACAAAGAAGATGGCGCAGCCAATGAGCAGTGGTATGCCCAAGGTGTGCTGGGCTTGCGGAAGGCTTTTCAAAGGCCGACCGGGGATGACCACACACAATCTGAGCAAGGCAATAGATGGGTTTGTCGCAATTTGTTTCAACAATAATCCATCGAATATACTATTTCATCATAAGGACAATTAAATATAATTTGCATTGGACATTAGTTATCCTTCTAACATTATGACACAAATACTTGTCCCCATTTTACTGCCAAAAATTATTTACGAACCAACAGAAAAATTACGTTTAAACAAAATCAATTTTGTTCCGTACAACCTGTCTCCAGGGATGGATGTATGTATGGCCTGGGCTGGGCTCAAGCCCAGGCCTTATTTTTTTTAAACAATTATTATAAGTTTGAAAAAAAAATTATTGTATTTTTAGCCCAGCCCAAAAAACCAACTCACTAACTCATTAAAATGATTTGCTTATTGATTTAAGTCTAAATACTACAAACACAATTGTAATAAAATATTATATATTTTTTATCCACCTTTTTCACTAGGCACAAACCCACAAAATATCACTATACACCAAACTTCAATCAAGAAACTATTTTCAAAAAGACGATTTAATTTCTTTTTTAATAGTAAGTTATATTTTTAAACTTTCTATTAGATATTTGTTTCATTTGTCTAATTGTTTTTTATCTATCTTCTCATTTTATATGAATTATTTGTGTTTTAATAGTAACTGCTAGGATCATTTAGTTTTAATTTTTGTTTTGTTGATTGTGTATGAAGTAGTAATGTGTGTGTATGTGTGTGTTTAATCTCTTATCCTCTGGTGTGGTTGTTGTATATTATATTTGAATTTAAAACTATGATGTGTAGTCATTTTATTTTGCTAATAACGATATAATAGCATTTATTTGTATTGTGAAATCTTTATAAATTCATATGAAGCACCAACATTTGGCCAAGAAATGAAACACTCAATTGATATCATCGTTCTTTAGAAAACGAGATCGATGAGATCAACGTTAAACTAGTGAAAACACGTAAAATACGGTGCAAAATGAGCATAATGAAATTTCTTTGTAAAAGCTCGCGAGTCGCGAGTACAACTTCAATTAATATTTGAAGAAAAAAATATCATGTGATTTTTATTGAAATGAGTTTTTAAAATTCTAGCCCAGTCTACTCTTAATTTCTAGATCCGTCCCTACCTGTCTCACATCTGACGATAAAAACACACTATCTGATAGATCAGTGGGGTGATGTGTCACTTGTCTAAATGAGGTGGCAAAATAAGGTAAACAATTTGTAACACCACAAATGAAGTGCATTGGCATTACAACAGAATGCAAACCTCTATTATGCACCATTACAACATAGTTGAACTTACCAATTGCACTGTAGACAAATATTACAACAATACAACACACTTTACTATTTCTAAACCCTATACATGTCATTTGCATCAACTAAAATATGGATGCACAAACAAACAAGTTGACGAACTTCACAAATATATACTAAACTTGTATATAGACAGTGAAACTTTTGGTGCTTGACACAACACGTGGCTGCAAAATCACGTAACTTACAGTTCCATAGACATTAATATCCTCTCATCTTTTGAAATAAATCTTATGAAAGCAGGATGAAATAGCCAAAGTAATCCATACCATTATCTACATCTACATCAACATAATGGTTTGACTTGATGTTCCTAAACTGGCATATATTTTCCCTCCTTAAGATTTCGATCAAATTTGGACATATACCATACCATATTAATAAACCATACCACAGTGGAGCCAACCTTCTATATACAACAAGTAAACTATACCATATTAATAAAATTATTAGTATAATTTAAATAACCAAATAATATGGTATGGTTTACTTGTTGTATATAGAAGATTGACTCCACTATGAAGTAGCAAAACTGCTTACTACACATGTTTTTTTGTTCCAATGCATATATGATGAGAGGAAATATATTAATTAAATCATTCAAGGAGTACAATTTAAATATGTCAATTTTCAAAATTTTCCTATAATAATTAAATGTAGGGAAAATGTATTTATTTGGTGAGGATTTGGTTATCATTGCATAATCGGAATTTATATGGAATCTATTAAAGAAATATCCATATTTAAGTTCTCTTAACAAATTAACTAACTGCTTCTAAGTAAACTAAAAGAAAATAAATCCAACAAATTTTCTTAACCAACAAGAATTAGGGAAAGAATACTTATGGAAGGATTACATAGTAGGTATTAAATCAATCTATCCATACTTAAAACTCAAAACAGAGTCTTCGATTTAATTAATATACCNAAAAAATTACTACATCATGTGGAGGTCGAGAGTAACAGGTTAGTCAGTATGTGAACATTTAAATATTAGATTTTTGTTCCTATATGATTTTTTGGTTTCAACGATAGACTTGTTACTGGACAAACAAATTCAAAATCTTTTAAGGTTAGCATATATGAATCCTCCTTCAATTACAGTTCATCTCTTTACTTTTTTCTTTTTCCCAAATGATTTACACATGAATTGGGTGTTAGATACTAATGCTTTCTAAGTTTCCTATGCTGAGAACGAATTTTTGAAAAGTTATGTATTTTAATGAGCCAAAATGATCTTCTGAATTTTATTCTTGTCATTCTATTACATAAATTGAAATGATAATATTAATACTAGGTGTAGTGAGAAAGTTCAAGGATATCTCCAAACTACATGGTTTAAGGCTCTCTCATTTACATAAATAAACTCCATTTTGAACAAATCAACTTCTACTAATTGAGTTTGAGTCGAGTTTACACTAGACATTATATAGTTGGCTTGAAATGTTGTTATTTAATTGTTAATATGGATTCATGTTATCCTCTGGTTGAACCTCATAGCATGCTTACTATTCTTTTAATTCTGTTGATGTCAACTGTAAAAGAATGTGAGTATCTTGAAGATTAGCTAGTTTTCAGCATTGTACTAATAAAATTTTTATTTGAAAATTCAGGAAAGTATCTCTGAACCAACAGGCTCTGCCATTCGAGGCTGAGATGAAATCGAAGTCATGTATTGTGTTGCGGCCCGTTTGTTTTCTCATTTTACTGGTATGGTCTTTTATTAAAACTTTTTGTCATAGGAATCATATTAATGGTTCATAGTTTTAAGAACTTGGTTGAATTTTATGGATGTTCTTGATCTGAATTTTTTTTTTCTAATCAAATGCAATACAGATGGTTGTAGTGTTGACTGTAGCCGGTTTATTCATCCCATTTTGGATAAAAAAGGTTACACGAATCGAAGATGAAGTTAAGTTGATCGCTCACGATACCAATCAAGAATTAATCTCAGGAATTCAAAGAGCATCTTCGTTATTTTCCCATATTAATTCCCCGGCTATCAACTTGGCACGAATATTAAGTTCGTCGTTGGACGTCGATAAGCTTACGTTCTCAATCATCGAATCAAAGGTTGGTCATTTTTATTTTTTCTAAAATATTTATTGTAATTTCTTTTTATTCATGTGTTTGGAATTAATAAAATGCAGGTGGCTTCCTCACTATTTCAATATTTATCAGCAGTTCCATACATGTCCCAGATTTCGTACATCGGACTCGATGACTTATTCTTCGCATACTACTCCGAAACAAATCAATTATACGCATTATACTCAAATTCTACACAAAATGGTACCAATATCAAAACTTGGTACGTTCAGCCCGCAAATCAAGACACGGGAAAACTATACGGAGAAGCAACTAAGTCAACTCCATCACGTGTAGTTGACTCGAGCTGTTTTCAAAAATCACTTAACAGTTCAAACGGATACTCATCGGCTGGGATTGGGTGGGGCCCGTCTCGAATTAATACATTCCTTAGTACTGTTTGTATGCGCGGGAAAAAAGGAGCTATTTCTATAGGCTTCCCAATGAAATTCCTCACTGATTTTTTGGCCAACCGAAACTTGTATTTGGCCACCGACAATGGGAATGTGTTAAGTCAGGGTAATATTCCGAACATGCGTATGATCGTGTTATCTGATAATAAAGTCTCGTTTCAATTGTTAGGCGAAGATGAAAAAACGGTTATTAGTATTGTGGGAAATTTCACTTGTCGATTGGACAATGGCACGTCTGGAGAAGATGATTCTGTGTTGAGCGTTCGAGGCAAAAGATATACCGTTCATTGTTCGCCAGTCGAGATTGCAGGACTAAGATTGGTAAATATTTTAAATTTTTTAATCCCATAAATTTCTTCATTTTATAATTGTAATTTTTTTTTTTTTTTTTTGGCATTTCTTTTAGGTATATGCTTTTGTAGTACCTGAAAACAGGTTCTTGAGCCTCATTCACAGCAACATCAGGCTTGCATTCGTCCTGCTTGTGCTAGTGATAGCTTTCATAGTGATAGTGACGTGCGGTTTACTGTACGTGACATTTGAGGCCGCCAAACGCGAAATGTACCTTTGTGGAGCCCTCATAAACCAAATGGAAGCAACTCAGCAGTCAGAGAGGAAGAGCATGAACAAAAGCCTGGCATTTGCAAGGGCAAGCCACGACATTCGAGCCTCTCTAGCTGGCATAACCGGCTTGATCGAAATATGCCGAGACGAAATCACCAAAAACGACACTCATGGTTCGGAAATGTTCACGAATTTACGCCAAATGGAAGCCTGCACAAGGGACCTCTTAGGTTTGGCTCTTTATTCTTTGTTTTGACAAAAAATATACAATCAATGTGAGCTTT